GACCTCTATGGTCCATCAAGTATTAACAAGAGAATGCGCAGGTGGCCAATACCGATTACGAGCCACTCATTTCAGTTTTTTTTTTTGTCAACCATTTGTATTGAATGCTTCGGTGGGGATGCAGTGCGTGCCAGGTGACGATGATGATGAAGCTATATGTAGGGTGGTGGTGGTAGTGGTTAGAAGATGAAAAAAGGCACCTAATTTCTGCAACCCGATCGGGAGCACGGCGCAGTGCCTATATATGTACGAATGACGGCAATAGTTAAGTTCTGTTTTTGTTCTTTCACTCGCCTCGCTGGTTGCGCAACATTTGCTGCTGCTGCCAAGGAAGCTAAAGACGAGATTTTTCATCTGCTCACACTTTGTGGAAAGGACCGCTTGGACATTATTTCGATAGAAAGGTTTACTTGTTTCTCTTTTTTTTTCTCCCGTCCATGCCCCCCGGGTTTTATACCCGAACTCCCCACTCAAACACTCTCACAGTACAATCGGGAAACCTCGACTCCTTGTTGGCTGTCGTTGAACGTGGCAGACATGGAGTCTTCCCTCTTCGGATATTCGTCGAAGAACCACCGCCTCTCGTCGTCGCTCAACTTCGTTCACTCCGGTTCCCGGAACGTACGACGTCCAGCGTCGCCGAGCCGTGGGAACGCACTCCCCGGGCACGTGCCTCCAACGCTGGGCTGACAAGCCGTCAGTATATGTGGCCCGTGTATCGATGCCGCCGCCGCCACCGCTGGTTTTGTTTGCTACAGCGGAGCGCCAGTGCACTTTCCACCCTTGCTGCCGGACTCGGCTCTTGTCTCCAGAGGCGCCACCACTAAGCACCTTGGTGACGTGGATGTTAGCGTCCTTTACTGGCCGACAGACAGGTGCCGTTCCGCCAATTCAGTGACACCGCTTCCGTCATGGCGTGGGCTCACTGTCAGCGGGGCGGGTAACAGTATGAAGGTATTCGGCGAACGCACCAAGTTCGAACCCGACAGCAATCGTCAACCCTAACAGCATTTGCTGTGAAACTTCTAATGCACGCATGTGCTGCACAAGTTAGCCAGATGTGCAGCTACCAAAAAAAAAAGAGATACAATTCGTCTTATTCAGACATTTATCCTCTAAGCAGACAGCAAGTGAGATTCCTCGGTGCAGACAGCACCGAGGAAACCACCGTGTCGACGAGCCAGACAACACTGCTACCTCGAGAAATGCTACAACAGTCGTCGCAATTGGTCTCGCCCGGGTTTTCCTAGGCCAGACATCTGTGACACGGGCAGCTTCAGGACACATACTCAGCAGTCGCCTTCGCCACCACAGCAGTACCCTTTCTAGAGCCACACGCGACGTCACCAGACTAAGATGTACCAGAGACGAATTGGGACGACCATTGAAAGTGACTACTTGCAACACAGGGCATCATTGGCTCACGTGTGCGCTTGTGTAGCACGTGTGTGCGCGTGTTTATACGCAGGAACACCGGCCGTGTGTACGGGTCTTTGGTGATTGGCCGCGCGCACGTGTGTGAGTCTGTACATGCCACAACAGTCGTGCGAAGCGAACGCATGAATTTGCGTGACATAATGTACCACGAATGTGATCCAAGGTGTTGGCGTGGTGATAGAATACTTGCAAATGTTGCCTTTATTGCATGTGCTCGGAGGTAGCGCAAGTTAATTTAATATCGTCTACCATTGTCTCGCGGCTAAAGTAACGCATCCCACAGCACAACGTTCGTGGAGCTAAGGTGAGCGTGATGAGTCGGTAAAATTTTTAGAAAGGCACGCTCTGAACACACGATACGAAGGCGATGTCCGAGCACCGGTGCGCCGTGCGTGAGGTGCTTTCGTAATAAAACAAACGTGGCTGATCCCACTTTTTAGGAATAAATAAAACATGGAAGTGAAATGTCTTCGTAGGGGTAATTGGGCGTTCATGATGCATTGTTTCTCTACAAGTCTGAAGGTATGAATGTCACAGCAACAAAGTGCAATGTCACGCGAAGAATTGGAAGCAGCGCGAAGCCTGCAGCGCACACATAAAGCAGCAACACCGACGGTTAGAGTACTATACGGGCATGGATAAACTTCTCTGTCAGTTGCCGCTAGAGAACTATAACGTGTTACAGTGAATCCACGGACACCCGTTCATTCATGCGTTGTCCGCCGTACCTCCGTGTTGTACTTAAACGTAATGCGCTCGTCTACGTCTCGTCTCCTGTTACTTAGGCTCCTTCCCGAACCTTCGCAATGCCTATAGATCGCACTTCTTTCGAATGTGAGACTGTTCGATGACTCGAGGAGTTCAAAAAAAATGGCAGCATATCCACGGAGTGAATGATGGGGAGTGGGGCGAAGCATTCGTCCGTCCATTCGTTCTTGCTTCCGTCGGTTCCTGCGCACGTCTGTGTAACCGTTCATGCGTCCATCCACCCGTCCGTGCGTGCGTCTGTTCGTGCGTCCGTGCCTGCGTTCGTCCATGCATCCGCGCCTGCGTCCGTTCATGCGTCCATCCATGCATCTGTCTGTGTGTCCGTTCGTCTATCTATTCAGCACTCCAAGTACCACCATCTCGCATCTTTTCATCGTATATTCTCCATATAGAAGCACCGCCATCCAGCGGACATTTCAAGGACTAAACGGGAGGTGGCGCACGCACACTTTATTACGGTTTGCGCTTCGGGTCTACTTCCCACCTTTAACCACCTCGAGTTCAAGGTATATACTAGATTGCTGTATTCATGGCACTGCCACCTAACGCTCACCAAACCTTTCTAAAACCAAGGAGGTTCCGCCCAGCGAGTATAACGTAGCAACCTTTTCCTGTCAGATCATCCTCAATGTACATGCCAATAGCTACTAATGGGGATCGCATCGTGCGCGTTATCTAAAGGTCAAACGCTCCTGTCTCTCATTCCCCCTTAGCAGCCATTAACATGTGCATTGAGCACTATCTTTTATTGTTCAACGACGCACAGAAGAAATCTCTCACCGGAACCACCTTGGAGGTCAAAATCGTAAGGACCGCTATTTCGGGTATGTGCCACTGGTGGTTACGTACTACGAGGGACGCACAAGCCACGCCATAAGGAGCTTCGCCCCTAAAAAGGTCAAGACGCATCAAGGGTAGTGCGTCGAAGAGCAGCGGGCGCCGAGCAAAAAGCCGGCGAAGTGGGAGCTCGTGACTATAGTGCTACTACTGACAGAGCGGCTTGCTCGCTTGCTCGTGGGCTTTGTCATCGTACTCTCTTCGCGACAGACAGACAGACAGACAGACAGACAGACAGACAGACAGACAGACAGACAGACAGACAGACAGACAGATAGATAGATAGATAGATAGATAGATAGATAGATAGATAGATAGATAGATAGATAGATAGATAGATAGACAGATAGATAGATAGATAGATAGATAGATAGATAGATAGATAGATAGATAGATAGATAGATAGATAGATAGATAGATAGATAGATAGATAGATAGATAGATAGATAGATAGATAGATAGATAGATAGATAGAAACTAATGAAAGTGGGTGTCATCCACGATGAATCGCACTTTTGCACGCTTAGGCTACGAGTGAAACGGTCATTCCAGTTTTCTTCGTGTGCGCAAAAAGGTGACGCAACAATTTTTTTTTTTTGGTTCTTGCACACGAAGACGAAAGCATTGTTTAGACTAGGACCAGAGTGACTGCTTCAAAACTGGGAAATAAAGACAGTGTTGCGCCTTTAGAGTTGAGTTTGCAGTAAAATAACACATCTGGCTTGTACTATTGAGAAATGCCCATCTAAATAGCGTTTATTGTGAATGTTCGTCGTGGGGTTTGTGAATTAGCAACGCTAACAATTCACTAACGATTTTTCTTGTCACTCACTGTTGACATCTGAAATACGCGCGTAGTTTCAGCCTATACAAAAACTTTCCGCTTCGGCGGTATTGATTTGCCCTCTAGTGAACAGTCTTGTAGGTAAAACGGGTATAGTTCTGGCTAGTGCCGCATCGTGGCGGTAGTATGCATCATTTACAATAAGCGTTATAGCTCCTGCAATACGAGCAACATCTGTGCGCAATTGAGTGTGCCTTACGGTTTAGTTGCGAAATTTGGAATGTGAGTACGATTCACACAGCAAGGGAGTCGGAGCGAATATAAAATATATGAAATATTTCTGGCCAGCTATTGTTTCTCATGTGCACTTAAATTTAAATACACAGCCGTTTTCGCATTACAAATTTGTCCCCGTGTGACTCTGTTATAAGGGCGTTTTATCTGAATATTTGAGTTCAGTTGCGAAACATGCTACCCTCTACGCTAACACGTTAGGCGTGCTTATAAACTTCGAAGCCTAGAATATGAATAGGGTTAATTATAAGCTATCATACACGCACTTTATAGAGCATTTTGTGCAAATTCTTGTGTGAATAAGTTAAGCTTCTAAGAATTAATGTATCCTGGAGTCATGGAGAACACCAGCACGTATAACAACGATGTTTAAAAAGTGAAATGTTTTTGTGGTTTTCCCTGAGATCATCTGACATCAGCGCTGAGCAAGTGAGAGTGCAATGTCAGTTTCATATCAACTTCACCCTTGTGAATCCACAGTCCTTGCGCCAATCACGTAATGTTGTGATACTTTCTTAAAAAAATAACCAAAAGATTATTCCGCAACATAGCGGGTGCTCGAGCTCCCACTGCTTCGACTTTTAGCTCTGCTGTCACTTTAAGTTGTTTTGGTATACATACTTTGACAACCTTGCTTTAAAAGAAATTTCACAATTCTTCCAGCAATGTAAAGTGGCGTATTTCATGAAAAAGCACGTTGAGTAAGACATATTCGTTCAGGGTAAAACGTATGTGTTTTATACTAAAGAAAACATGTAGCCATTCTTTTGCAGTTATCGGTGCGTTACATCTCAACATATGAAGTATTTGCGGGCAACCTAAAGCTAGCAATTTAGCGCGAAATGCAACATCGTCGTGACAAAAATAAATACAGTCATGCTTGATTGGTTAATAGTTTTATTGGAATTGTAACGGTGATAAGTTTGGTTGTAATGTGTACACATCATTCTTTCATGAAAGGGCATGCTAAGAGTCGCTCATTGATTAGTTATATATGAATGGTTAATTTTGATAATATTTGTCTGCACACTACAGCACAATTCATAATGTGTGAGAGATTTGAGAAACCGCGGTATATATACTTAAACGCATCGCGCAAGTTATAATGTAATACATACGAAAGTAATAGAAACTTGCTTCTGGGGTATGGCTTCAGTGAGTTTAATGCAATGCTAAAATTTTTGTTCAGTAAGTAGGGTAAATATATGTCAACTTCTACTCTACAAAGTGGTCGCGCAAGCAGTTTGAGTAGAACGAAATAAACTGGAATTATCAAGAAAGTTCTTTCATGCATACCGAGGTGGCATCAGAGCGATACGGCTGTAACTTCGGTGGCGAAAAGCGCTATGAACCATTACTCTCCACTTGGAGCCCCATCCAACGTGCTTCTGAGTATCTATTTTCTACCTCTTTCCTGAAAACAAAGTTGTAATCTTCTTTTTCACGTGAGAATGTTGTGCCTTCAAATAATTTCTTTTCTAGTGATGCCGTCATTATTTTCTTCTCGTTTAGGCAACCTATTCAGCCTGAAGTGTTCACTGAGTAAGGCAATTACTGTGTTCATGCTACATTGGCTTTCCTCGTTCCATGCTTTTCATGGGTGATCCCTTATGGCAGACGGAGGTCATTCCAGAGCGACGTAACATCGCTTCCTTGAGTCCTTTCAGAGATCCACTTCTTCGTGCGAGCTATCTGTTCAATTGTGAAGTATTCTTTCCACTCACCCACTAATCCTTTCCGAACAAATTGACCACCTTCGTGCATCTCTGCATTCCCTTCGGATGCCTTCTCAGTCGTGTCAAGCCTCTGAAGGTACTTCTCTGACACTTTCTCAGCAATCTTTTTCGACCGCGCGCTCACGTTCTCTTTTAAAATAGCCCTCATGCTCTCCATACTGCAGTTTCTCAGTATTTTCTGAACAACAGTATCATCCCTACAAGTGGCAGCATGTTCCGGACCAAGAAAAGTGCGATCTTCAGAACCATTCCTTTGGCGTCAGCCTGGAGCTGTTCATAGGTGATGAACAGTATGTTGGGCTGGTGGCGGTGTTCGTACCAGGGCAGTACATGGTCGAAGTAGTCCCCATAAAAAGCCTGAAAACGTAGAAACTTGCATGACACGCTTCATTCGTTGCCTTTTTTATCACAGATCACTTGCTATCTTATGCCTTTCACAGCAATTTGACTACGAGCACATGAGGTTACGTGCTGTTCAGGCATTGTGCCGCATCCATGATGCACCGGTTCTGATGAAGCTGGCATACGACTGGTTTTATGAAATTGTTCTCGCAATTACCCGTATTTGATTTTTTTGCGCTGGTCTAGCTGCTGCACACGTTTATAAACTTTGGCACTGGTGTTTTGTGAATCTAAGGCAAACATTGCATTACTGTTTAAGCATACACGTCAGTAAACTTATGAAACTCAAAAGTAATAAGCACATTATATCCCATATGCAAATGTAACTTCTTTTGAAGTTTCGCAACGTGAATAAGTGAAATTCCCAAATATTTAATTCAAAACTAATATAATGTCATTGGAATATTGACTTGACAAGACTGCCTGCAAGCGCCGTTGAGCCTTCTGAAATACTGGGAATTTTGTGCACAGCCTAAGACCTTGTTCCACCGTATGTCCCCAGCATTCGCGCTATAGATGTAATATGCAAGGCAGTGGACGGCACGGACTTCGTAAGCCACTAAAGCTGCGCATGCAATGACAAAGATTTCTCTTTGAGTGCTTGTTGCTTTTGTACTCCCCTCACTTTTCAATGAATGCCTGAAGGCTACTCTCACTGTACGGCCATTTGAACTTAGATTTTTTTTGTGTTCTTAACGAATGCTCTGCTTAGATCACGCAGACTCGTTTAGCTTTGCCAACCTTAATATACTACCTTTGACTACTCGAATATCATGAACTTTTTTGTAAAGGATTCGTTCTAAAACGTTTCTTTCTCTGTGAATATATAGCCACAATCTTTCGAAAGCTGCCTTTACAGTAAATAGGGCCATTAATAATGGAAACCGACGAATAAAACCCGCCTTATTTTCCTGCTGAGTCACTTATTTAAACGTAGTCACATGCAAAGAAAATCTCTATAAAAAAGCAAGACGCCAAAGAAGGTTATACATATTCTTTTTTTCAGAAATGATGTGTGAAAATATGTTTAGCTATGTTTAGGCTGTCAGCCTTAGGTTGTATGATATGTGAGTATTCTTATACCATTGATTGCTACGGCAAACTCCATTCGGCTGTTTTGTAAGCCACTTTGCTTTTGATTAGGAGCCGAAGCAAAGCAGGCAAAAGTTTGTTTATTACAAAAATATTTAAAGAATGTTATATTTAATTCAGCGCGTGCACTCTTTCGCCTATTTTTATTCACATAAATTGAGGCCAACGCCAAAGTTTTGTTGTGCCTGACTCGTATGCTTTTTCGTGTTCTTGAAATTCACGATTTCACATTTACTTATTCCAGAAAATAGTAATTGGTTAGGTTACTAAATATTAAAAGCATTCCTTTGTGCTACGGCTATATCTCGCGGCCGGTAGTTTTCAAGTTGTGTTCGCAAAACACAAGACTGCATATTGCGTTGAATTGAAAAACTTCATGTCTCTTCCTGTCTATATACTTCAAGAATTAAGCCAAACTGAAAAGATTACCTTTCCTGACAGAAAAAGGCGCAGAAACTTGTCGAAAGAAACATCCATGTATGTCTTTGGAGTCAGGCCTTTCAGGAAGTGGTGCATGGAGACGGCACAATCATAGGGATTCCGGGCCACGTACACGTACTTAGCCTGGTCGACCGGTGGAAAGACTTTGTACGGAAAGTGAGTTGCTATGGGGCCTGTCCTGCATGAGTCTTCCGCCACTTCGGCCCCAGTTACTTCAAGAAATGGAGACCTCAGCCCCAGTTCCATGATGTCTTTAGGTTGCTGGCCTCTTGTCATTATGTTCCAAATTATGAAGTGTGTCCAGTTGCTGCCACTCTTGGGATATGAAACCAAAATAATGTCTCCGCGTCGAGGTTTATAATTTTTTGCCGAGCGGAGCGATTCCTGGTTGTATAAGTCTAACAATGGCAGTCCATCGAAGTCCTTGTACAGTTCTTCGTCCATCGTAGTGATGACCGAAATTCCTGCACATAAGATAACATTTAAGTAAGGAGTGCAAATGTCACGCCTGTATTGCATCACGCTTTTTTAAGTGATAGTACTTTCGATGCCCTGTTAGTTTCTAATGGTGTTGCTAAGTTTGCGGCGGTTCATGAGAGAATAAAGATACGTCGTACTGTAGTTTGGTTTAAAAAAAAAACCGGGTTTTATATGTGTAAAGTTTGGCCTAGTCAGGTGACATTTCTTCTAACGTCACCTTATGCCACCATCACCATGACAATCTTGTATTGTTGCACAAATGAAGAAATAAAATAAATAAAAATAAAATAAAGTAGGCACTGATTGCTTTCACTCATGCTGCTGATGCAGAAGGTCGCAAAACTGTTATAAAGCAATTTGAGCTATGTGTCACTACTCCACTATGAAGATGCGTAGGTCATTCTCGCATCAGAATACTAACGTAAGGCTAAAGACCTCAGAGGTCAAAGCTATTAAATTAGTTTTTATTCCAGAAACACAGAAGAAGTACTCTGGAACGTTATACGATGCAAAATTTTCAAACTCGCTTCTAGAGTCACCCCTAACATTGCCTGCACAATTTTAGTGCAACAATGAGATGCAACGATAGCAATTTTATTCGTCTTCTAACTTTATATGTCTCATATTGGAAGCCTTGGTAACTCAAACGGACATGAAAGCAATATTTGTAAATAACCGAAGCGTTAATTTTCTCAATCAAGAACCGTTAAAGCATTTTTGTGGGACTTCAAGGCGTTATTTCGCAAGTTCTTTATCATATCGCCGCTACAGAAATTTATGTCTTTGTGACGCCGGTGATATTCAGTTGAAGCGGAGGTTGAGCACACGTTTTATGATTGAATCTGGGGAGAAAATTCTGTCTACGTTGCTTTGCGAATCAATTACATACTTCGTGGTCTAGACTGTCACACATAATTTAGGACATTTTTCACTGAGTGCTGCTTCAGAATATACTGCACTAAACAAGTCGCGGGACAGTGCTTTTAAGCGCGTAGTAAAACTAACTTAGGTACGCATGTGCTGTAAATGTAATGAATGAGCATTAAAGGCAGTCAGACAATTGATGCAGTATGGACTCCTCATCTAACTAAGGTTACACGCGCATGTTTGCAGCTTTCTTGCATTTTAGAAAGATTTGTTATTGGTAGACCTAGACAGCTAGCTTATCGTAGAGTGATCATTTATTACATCACTACAACGAGTAAGTACTTGAGAAATATCGATTATGACAGGGTTGCTTGAATTTTTCAAGCTAATGTTACATGTATAACTGCTAGTGCCAGCGAGACATGTAGTTGAAATTATTGTAGGATCAAATTGCTGAAGAGCTCAGGAGTGTTACGCAAATAACATACTAGTCATTTTGTATCTTTTGTACGGTAATTTTATGTTTGCCACATGTGTTTATCATCTGATTTACGTTGCCCATGCATAGAATGAACGAAATAATGTCAGAAAATTCACGAAGCTTTACTTATTGTACTGTTTTTCTTTCTGAAAGTGCAACTGCAACTAATCCTACAATACGAAGTTTTTCGGTATTGCAAACAATTAAAACATATATATTTGCAGTACTAAGCCTGAATTTACGTGAAATTTTAGTCACGATAAATAGTGAAACACATAATTCTTATGAGAAGCGTTCACCAACAACAACTCAACGTAACAGTACTTGAAAGATGACATACAATATAACAGTTCTCTATGTAAGGCAAAATTTGCTAAGAGAATGACACTTACAAATAAGGCTTCTACGTTGCTAGCCACCAGCACCCACCTCTACAGCAGCTCAACTGCCGAGAGCAAGAACGTGTCGAAGCGCTGCTATCTGCTACATTCAACAGCGTCAATAAAGTGTTATCGCATTGTTCATCTTAAAGAAGAGACGGAAGTCCATTGAAGCAGAGAGATCAAGAAGGAAACAAGACAGGCATCGCATTACTGCTGGAGAAGGCGTGCATCATTTTAGCACGACATGTGCAGACAGATCATTATCCAACATTAAACGAGTACGAAAAATATTAAAACGTAGCTTGACGCTCAGGATATTTGTTGTTGAAGGTGAACGTCGTGCGGTCGCGGTATGATTACGAGGCACGCAATAGTTGACTGCTCCGAACATTTTGAGCATGTGAGGCTCTTCAACGTGGACTTAAATATTAGTGCGTGGACCTCAAGCATTCTTGCTTCTTGTGTGATCACAGGAGTACAGACGAAGAAATGTCGCGATTTTTTTTTTTGCAGAATGTTTATATGAGCTGGGGATTTCCTCACAAATGAGAAATCAACATGTTTTTTTTAAAATCATCAAAAGTTTCTAGAAAAAAAGGTTTTTATCAGCAGATGGAAAAAGCTACTATTGAAAATTTCAGATGTTACAGATTTTTAGGCCTATCACTGAACATTTAGGGAATTTCGGCCAACAGAAGCCATTTGTTTATAAGTTCACAAAACTTGTTCTGTGGGTCTGCAAGATTTAGGTTTACATCAGGGAGAGTACATTTTTTATTGATCATCATTGATTTTTGAGCAACTGCTGCTTACTTCCCTACAATTCGGGAGTCTCGTTTTCGCGAAGGCTGCTCAATCGAAAATATTTCCCTAAAATCTAACAAAAGTATCATGCTCATTCAGCAAAAGCTTTTCATCCACGTTGTATATTTATTTCCTAGTAAAACTGCAGAAAAAATGTGATGACTGCAAGCTTGCTGAAAATAGCAACACCAAGGAGCGTTTTAAACATAATCAGTGTCGAGTTTTACGAAAATGAAGAAAAATGTTCGACCAAGATGGTTAAAGATCTCAGTGTGCGGCAAAAACATATCACATTATTTTGATTTAACTAACAATATTAGGCCTATTTAGTCCCCATATGTCATATAACCACTTTGTGTGGCACTCCTAAGACAAGAAAAAATTAATTACTATATGTAGTCTCTAGCTGACTTTTTCCTCCTCGTCAAGACTAGTGACCCAGACGTTTTTCCTTTTTTTTTTCAATTTGATCTAACATAAACACATGAGCATGAATTTGCAGGACTCCTGCGTCTATTCAGGTATACGTTGAGATCGGAAACACGTGAGAGTGCGTAAAATGAGAGAGCACAGCAATAAAACATCTCAGTCAAGACGGGAAAACAAAAATAGGTGTAACTGCTAAACCCGGTGAGAGCTTTTGAGGATGTAGAGTTTCGCAGTGTCCACTACACCTTATGTCTTTCCGTGTGCGATTTGGCGAAGTAACCATTACAATATTCTGTAGGGTGTCAAGTGCACCACTGCATTTGCACACTTCAGTGATGCGCAGCATTAAACCACCGACAAGTTCCGTAATTCGCATGCTCTCGCATCTTGTGAAACTATGCCGCGCAATTTCACATTCCTCAGGAGGCTCATTCCAGCAAATAAAATTCTTGTGGAGATTTTTTTCTTTGATTAAGGAAGCCGGTCTAATCACTGAAGTGTCTCCGCGATGAAGCACCTGCTTGCCACGCAGAAAGGCTCACGTTAGAATCTTGCTTGAACTGGACATTTCATTATTTCTATAATTGCATCAATCCTTATTTTGTCTTACAAGCAATACCAATTTTTATCACAATCTGCGAGGCCACCAGCACCGAAGAATGTTAGCGAAACAAGCTCTGTAGTGGTAGCTCTTTCAGCTGCATATTTCTGAAGTGTGCCAAACGAAATATTTAAATGGACCATCATGACAGGTATCTTGTGACTTCCAGTCATTTTGGTCATTGTATTATTGTTTCAACAGGGGATAATTCCTTTCTGAAATACATGAAAAGAACCTGGACTCGGGACCGGTATCCACTTTGCTTTCTCCAGCTTTCAACTGCAACCTCTAATTCAAGACTCCTCGCCACATACTTCACCGATCACAAAATTGTAATCTTCAAAGAAAAACGCGTCCCTCAGTGCTTTGATCAGCAATTTAATGCTTCTGTATAATATCACCGATATGTAACTAATTACGTCTTGTGTATATATAGGTGTACATACGATCACCCATAGTAACAACGTGCCAGGTCTTTATGTGAAAGTAGAGGACTTGTACGGTGAATTTACGGGTTCTCCCGATTATTTCCGAGCAAGCTCCTCTACATCATTTACTTAGTAAAGATGACGGAATTTATTTGTTTTTATTTTTATCGCCCCAGTGTTTTTGATTCGTTCGCTAACATCGATTCGAAGTAGTTTTCCGCCCAATGGCACACTTTATGAATCGATATCCAGTTTTGGATCGCTTAACTGGCATCTAAATTATGCATACTTATCAGGTGCACTTCGTAACCTTTAGGCATTACCAATGAATGTGCTTGTTCGAGATACCCAACCCTAATTTTTCCAACCATACTTGCTTTGCATAAAAAGATTTGTATTGTCCACCCAACATGTTCTAACGTAGCCATTCTCTAAGAAGCACTACCTGTAATAATCTCTCGAATACACATCCTCTTGTGGACGCTTTGCAATTCTTTATAACAAGGGTGACTGATAAAATGGGTGAGAACTAGCAGGGCGACGCTTATTGCCAACTACGAAGCACAATCACAAAGAAAGGAATGACAGGACGCTGTGCTCTGTGTCCTTCATAGTGCGTCACATGAAGATTAAGAAATTTGGCAGATCCCACGCATTGGGGAATCGACGTTACGCGAAGGTGCGTAGGGAAGGGGACAATGTTGCAATTTTAAGTGTGAATACACTTTATAGGCGACCCCAAACCATCCACCGCCGTCGGCAGCGTCCGCAGTCTTCTCTCTGTCTTTAAAAGCAAGAGGACTTGGCGGGCCGCAGCGTGACGCTCTACCGAATAAAGTGCCAACCACTGGCACGCGTATGCTCGCGTCTACGCGTCAAAAGCGTCAAATGCGCCTGTCGGCGTCGGCTTCGGAGGGGCATACGCGAGCAGGCGCGAGGGATCAAGCCGGGCTTGATATTTCGCCTCGCGTACGCTACGTCACCACGCGTACAGCGGCGCCAACCAACCAGAGGCTGCGATGACTCCGAATGCTGTGCCTAATGGCCGCCGCTTCGAAGGCACAGCCGAGTGCTGAAAGCAAGCATGAAAACTACTCCAAACGTTCCTGAATGACCGCTTCGTAATCTAGAACGACAACGAAACGACAAACGACTGCGAGTGCTACCAGTGTGACGTGGTTTCGTGCCGAGTTCGAGCGACGCCGACAAATCCACCAAATGCCGGCACCGGTCCCGAGTGCGGTCGTCGGCCGAGCGAAAACATCGCACAGACTAACGGAGCATGTCGGTGTTCTTGTGCTTTGATTTGTGATTTTCTGTGCTAAATATAAGTGTGAACAGACTTCGGAGGTTCGAAGCTTTGAGCGCGAGCCCTCGCCTACCGCGGAGGCGATTCAGAGCGGTGTCATCTGGATCCAGCATAGGCGTCTACCGTCTAGTTCGTATGAACCAACATATGCGAGGAACATCGGCTGAGAAAGATCTACGGTAGTTTCCGTCGCAACATAGACACCGTATACGACGCCCAAAACATTGCGTAGTGCATACAGAAGAGGTTTTGTCTACACTGTGTTTTCAACATAGGTATTCATCATCGCTGAAAGTGAACCTCGCACTAGCCAGCACATTTTGGTGATGTGAAATCGTACGTACTTATATAAGTGTATTCGCGAATTGTATGACGCTGAAACATTCGTTGGCTTCGGTGCAAATCGTTTTCGTGTGTTGCCAAGCTATTAACAAGCGTGCTCTGGTTGGTATCAGTGTGATGTGATTTCGTGACGGGTACCAGCGACGCTGACACATTCAGCTGTCAGCAGTCTCATGTCCATTCATATCCAAGATAGAAACTAGAGCGTGCGTTGCTGTGGTGATCGAAAAAGAAAGTTGCATGATTAAGTGCTGCTGGTATTGCCTGCTATTTCACTTCTCGCTTGTTCTGCTTCTCGGCCACGCTCAGTTGCACATACATTGTTTGGAGGCATTCTAACACACACATTCTTAATTTATAGTTCATTCTGATACTCATAGCTGTAGGCATACGATAGTGCTTTTCCGTCGTTTTACAGTTCACTATAATATAACACGCGTTTTGTTTACAGCTAGACAGATAACTGAAAACCTTGTGAGAAGCGCCTGATTTGAAATTAGGTGAACGATGACACAATAGTAGGAAGAGAAGGTCACCACATGTATGCACAGAAAGAATGAAGGTGCACTAGTACTGTACTGCACTTTGTATAGAAGAAATGCAAAAAGTACCTCATGTGACTTATGAGACCTTTCAGAACTGTGCATGTATTTATCTGTTCCTCTAGACTGTAATGAGCTGAAGATATTATTAGATGGTTTCAAACATTGAATCTTTGTATGTGTTTCCAAGGACTGCTTCATTTCTTTTCAGGTTTTTAGTATACACATTAACTTGGACTATATAAGCATGCACTTAAGCACATTCAGTTAGGCTATGTTAAGAAACTTGCCAAAACTTCTGTATAGTGCTCTGGTGCAATCCTATGACCGGTATCTGTCCGATCAAAAATTTGTGGCATGCTTTATTGCATTCTAGGGTATTTTGACTATTTATGACATGTGAAAGCCACAGTGCTTGGCTGCCGTCTCAAAACCAATTTCTGTCTCATCAAGAAGTGTCAGATGCACTTCGTAGATGTTAAAAGATATTGAAACTAGCAGCAAAGTGCAGAAACC